TACGACCTACGTCTCCGATCACGCATCCGATTCCGATATATATCGTATATTGATCGTATCCGATCGATACATGCCAGCTCACCTCGTCGATGGCTTTGAAGAGTTTCTGCTTGACGCCCAGGTTCTCGACGATGGCCTCGATGACGAGATCAGTGTCGCGGACGGCCTCCAGCGTGTCCGTTGTCATGGTGATACGAGCCAGCGACTCCGAGATGAACTTCCCGGCTGCGTCGGCATCCTCCTGATTCGATGGAAAAAAACAAAAAATTGATCAGGCATTTGTTTGTTTATTGGGGCTTTAGAGCACTCCAACAACAATGGCCATTTTGCACCCAAAAGTAATTGGGCAGGGGTGTTAGGAAAGTCAATGAAGACATATATGTTGGCATTGGTAAATGAAAATAGGTATAAATTAATAGCCTTCAGAGCAGGAAGCTTTTCAGGTAGGTACCTTTATGCAAAATCCTAAATGGTAACTTTTGCTAATCTGTGTGTTACCATTCTATCAAGTGAAAAGTTGGGTACAACCTATTCATAGGCTGATTGGTAAATCGTGAAATGTTCTTAGAAAAAAAAAACATCAAAATTAAAGCTGTCAGTAAAGAAAAAATGAAAGTTTATTTTAGCCACACATACCTATTGCATTCTACATTTTATTCCTGTAGCCTCTAAGTGAAATAAAACTAACCTCAAAGCTCTTATTCATCCTCATGAGCCATGTAATGACCAATCATCTGAGACAAATGTTTCATACCTTAAACATCTTCTTTGCCACCCTCTTGATGCTGCCTTCAATGTTGGCTTTGGACTTTTCCAAGAACTCATCCTTGACATCCACCAGGGTGACTTTGTGACCTGTCTGGGCTGCAACCTGTCAGAGCAAACACATCACAATGTGTCAACAGACCAATACAGTGGGGTGTGTTCCAACAAGATGACTGTTTTACAAAGACATGAAACAAACACGCATTCATAACTACCTTTGATGAAACTGGCAAGTAGCATACCAATACATAACTATTTACTCAAGATCATGTATTCAATTATTTCCTTCTTATGTAAATTATCGGAAAGCTATGGGAGTAATTAAAGTACCAGAAAGATTGATGGTTGTTAACCCGCGCGGGGCTGGGGGGTGGTTGGGGATGGTTGTTAACCCGCGCGGCCTCGCGAATTTTTGCGATATCTCAAAAACGGCGGCGCGCAGCGCCGCCAAACTTTCTGTACCTTTTCTTACATCAATTTGACACGTTTCCTGAAAATTTGAGCGAAATCCGTCGGAAATTTTTTGAGAAATTGACGTTTTAGTGACGTCATGTTCGCCATTTTCGCCTCAAAAACGGCAAAAGTTCAAACGCCGCTAACATCTTCATTTTTAAAGGAATCAAGACGTAACAAAAAAGGTTATACGTAATTTTACTTTGTCTATCAAATGGCTATCTCGGTTTTTTAAAAATTTTGGATTTTGGCCTAAATTTTTTCAAAAAACTGACTTTTTTGGGAAAATCATTATAAAATCCAAAATTTTGAGTCTATCGAAAAAACCGGAATATATGTCAGAGAAGTGGTCTATGTGCACCTGCATACCAAATTTTAGAAGAATCGGTTCAAAAATGTGGGAGTTATTCAAAATTTTATGACGTCACGACACACAAATTTTTTGAAAAATGACCTTTTTGGAAGCTCTAGACCTCGTACGAAAACAAAAATAGCACCATTCGATTCGCCGTGAAAAACTGCATCAGATAGACACCTTTTTAGGCCTTAACAACCAACTTCAAAATTTGACCTCACTTGACCTGACCTTGACCTGACCTCGACCTGAAATTCATCCAGAGGTGGTCCATATCACTTATTGAGTGTGCCTATTGAATTCTATGAGTAAAATGACCCATAAAACATGTGTCGCACATGCCCTTTTCTATATTTTGTTTTTTGGTGACCTGACCTGACCTTGACCTTGACCTCTGAATGATATTGTATGCAACGAATATTGTCTTGGTAGCCTAAGAACACGTTTTGGGCGATCAGTCTCAGTTCATGACTCCATTCTTCGGCAACTACGGTGCAAGGCCGATACTGTAGAAACTTGCAAATTGTACCCTTGATCTGACCTTGACCTTGACCTCAAACTTTAAATTAAGTACATGTTTTTAGTAGTTCGTGATGAGAGCTTTCGATTGGCGTTTGAATTATCCAAATCGGACCATTAGTTCGGGACAGGGGGGTAAAATTTACCCCCCCCCCCCCAGCCCCGCGCGTTCGGCTGGAGACCCCAGCCCCGCGCGGGTTAATGTCCAATGAACTCTCCTAAATCACAATATAACTAATTAATGCCCTCTTTAAGCAGGTATTTTCTTTCAAAGCTTTGAAACAGCAGCAAAATAAGAATTGATCTAAAACAGCAATAAGCGAGCCCTTTCAGGAATGTCTTGTATTGTATTGTAATCTATTGAGCAATCATGAGCACTCCACGTTATCAAATTTTATGGCGGTTACTTTGAGAGCCATTGCAGTCGGGCACACTGTGGTACTTCCGATCCATTTATGGGAACGTTTCCATTTTTGGAACAATGTTCCAAAAATGGATACGCCGTTTCCAAAAATAGAAACGGTCTGTTCCATAAATGGAGACGCGGTGTGCATCGCTACCTTTAAAGCAAACTGGGCATTGATTGGTGCAATTTGGCATGCGCAGGATGCCACCAATCGACAGCCAGCATTCTAGTTTATGTTCCTGTTCTCCGACTTTCCGATCAGAAAATCGAAAGTTGACGAACGAGGCGATGCTTATAACATGTCGACGTGATAAAAAATTCACACGTTTTTCTAATCGAAAATAATAACATTTATGAATGATTTGTACAAAAAATAACGTTTTTTACAGACTACTGAAGGACTGGCCGATTGATTGGAACAACCACATCACCGGGAACTTCAGTTTTTCATTCATTTTCACGCTGCATTTTCCGGTGTACCAGCGGCCTGGTGGTCGTCAATCTTTGATTAAATCGCATGAAAGTTGTTGCAAAGCCCTATTTGGAGACTTAAGTGGGCATTTTATGATATTTCAAATGTGCTGAATATGATCGTAGGCTCGGATCAACGTAAATCTCCGTGCAAATACGTAAAAAGCAGGATGGAAATAAGGTCTGCACCGTCGTCACACCAAATACCGTTTTATTCTGACGATGAATTTATTCATTCTAGCTCATGTGTAACATTGATATTAATTTTATATATTGAAATGATATCTACGCTTTATGTATTGCCCACTTTGGACCGCATCTGTCCAGTAGTTTCTGGGAAATCTTAGTTTTAGTTGACTTTTGAATGTGCTCAAGTTGCGGCACGTAATGTATTATTATCGAACCCGACGTCCAAGCTAACTGCCGAGAGCCGAGATGCTAAACCAGTCCCAAAACATCAAATTTTTAGTTGCATGTGAATTTTAAAAACACATTTAAGCTAAGTTTGCACACATTTGAACTTCAGCGTTTCTATTTTTGGAACATCGGCGTTTCCATTTTTGGAAACTAAGTCTCCATAAATGGATACGATTCAGGAGGATTTTAAAGACGTGAATTTGAATGCATACGACAGCTTTCCATGCAAGAAGACAAGTGCTTTTGGTGTATCTGAGCTTGTTTTACGCGAAACAGTTGTTATACATCAAATCCAGCCACCCTTGGCAAGAAAATATGTGCGGAGATGTTAGCGTTTCTATTTATGGAACGAGCGTTTCCATTTTTGGAACAGAAGAGTAGTCAAAATTGGAAACGTTTCCAATAATAGAAACGTCTCCATAAATGAATCGGAGATACCACAGTGCGCCCGACTGATTGGTATCGAGAATACAAACAATGGTCAAATTAGAAGTGACTTCCACAAATCTGCCATCGATTGAAAGACATTCTAAGCTTCAGAGTATCATACAAAAAGGAAATAGCATTTGGCCAAGACAGCCTAATTTGCAGCTAGGTTCAGCGTAACCAGTGCTCAGCATGTTACGTGAATGAGCGTCATTGAGTGAAAAATGGTGGTGTCCTTACTAGTCACTTTAAAATTGATGAAGAACTGGCTCAGTTCTTATAACATACGTTCCATCTAAGGAGAAATTCATGTTCTTTGTTTATAAATTCAAAAGGTTATCCACTAACCTGCACAATGCCGGATCCCATCAAGCCACCTCCAATAACTGTAACCGTTTTGATTGCATCTTTCAAGGGAGCTGAGGCAGACAGACTTCGAAGGGGACCAATACCAGACACCGTACTGAAGCGAAGCAGCTTACTTGAAAGCATTTTGAGAAAATAAAGAAATACGAAGCCACAGAACAAAAGTTCTAAATATAAAAGCAATGGGCAGCGCTTCAAGCTTCAAGCTTACAAGGGCGGCACAAAAGAAAGAAGAACTTTAGTGGCGTCGGCAATAAATAAAAGTCGCAGAAAGTGAGATAAGATTTAAAAGTCGCTAGCTCCCTAGACTTATTCAAATATTCGCGGATTTTTCTTTCTTATTCTTTTAAAGAGAAAGGGTGAAATAAATGTTCCTTTGGAATTTATATTCAAAACGAATATATTTTTCCTCCCTGACGTTTTTTGTTCGGAAAATATTTTCAACAGTCACATTTTTCTTCGAATATTTGATGCATTTCTCTAGATCTTATAAATACCATCTGTAATAAAAAATATGCTGTTTGGCGGTTTTCGAATGCCGCGCCAGCGCCAGTATTGAACCGAAAATTCGTGCGCTGTTCCCGTGGACAGAGGCGCGCGGTCGATTTTCTTGATTACGAGCTAATTCTGTCAGTATTTCAAAAATAAACGCTAATAGTCAAGTCTGACTGATGCGTCGTTAAACAACCAAGAAATTTCAAAAATAAAAGGTACCGTTTGCTCCTTTGCAAAGGACAGAATCGTATGACGTTTTACTATCAGCTTTTTCACATTCTTATTGATGATAATATAGCCCCGGGACCTGTGCAACATTTGAGCACCCCAGCCAACCCCAGCATCGGCATAAATTTTTCAAGAAACATTCTAAAATTCCATGACTGCTTATGTGTAACAGCCCTCTTTTATGTAACCATTTGCACTCCCATTTTTATGCAAACTGCAAATTGCAATTATATCTACTGGTTCTGGTAAAAATTTACAATAAGATTCACTTTTCAAGCATAAATAGTTAGGTAGGTACTGCATATTTTTCAATGCTGCATTATTTATAAATACTGCATTATTTGTCATCCTGAATCCTTATATAGGTATAGGTATAGGTATATAGATAATGGACTTGGGGTAGCAGTATGCTATTTGTTGTCCATGTCATTGTTGGCAAGGAAACATGTCAGGGTACTCATTGAGGTTGGAGGTCACAGGTCACAGTTGGCTTTGAGCTGGAGGTGCTTATCTAGCTTAGCTTTAAATGTAGCAGTGGTGTCAGCAGACACAACATCATCTGGTAGCTTGTTCCAGTCATTAGCCACCCTCTGTGAGAAGAACCTTTGTCTGGCTTGATGGACTGACTGCTCCTTGTGTAATTTCATATGGTGACCTCTTGTGTTTGTCGTCCTCAGTTTGAAAAACTTCTCTCTCCTCACATTGAGCTTCCCTGACATGATTTTATACGTCTCAATCAAGTCGCCTCTTTTTATCCTGTCTTTAATAGCTACGGTCTTCAGGACTTTTAGTCTTTCTTGGTATGGCCTGTGCTTTAACCCCCTCACCAATCTTGTAGCTCTGCGCTGGACGTTTTCGAGGAGACTGATATCTTGAACAGCTTGGGGACCCACAGCTTGTATACAGTAGTCCAGGTGTGGTCTCACATATGAGTTGAAGAGGCTGGTGAAGTTTGTTGCTGTGATTTGGTCAAAGGACCTCTTTATCATTCGGAGAGCTACCATTGCTTTGCTCGCAGCTCTTTGACAGTGACGAGTAGGTCGAAGGTCGTTTGTTATAGTCACCCCCAGGTCTCGCTCCTTATCTGTGACTTCTAGTTTGACTCCTCTAATACTGTAAGATCTTTTTGGGTTTTGTGGTCCACAGTGCATCACTTTACACTTTTGGGGGTTGAATTCAAGAAGCCATTGTTCAGTCCATTGCGAGAGTCTATCTAGGTCTGCCTGAAGTTGTTCTGAGTCCTCTGAATTTCTGACCTTGCGATAAATCTTCATGTCATCTGCAAACAGTTTTGCGTCGCACTGGACCAATGTGGGCAATTCGTTGACATATATCACAAACAGGATGGGTCCCAATACTGAGCCCTGCGGAACTCCGCTGGTCACAGCCTCTTCTCTAGATTCTTGGTCATGAACTACTACCTTCTGAGTCCTGTCCTGAAGAAAGTTTGTGATCCATTGAAGCACTCCTGCTTTGACACCATAGGCAGCCAGCTTCTTAACAAGTCTTCGGTGGGGCACAGAATCAAAGGCCTTTTTAAAGTCACAATAGATGATGTCCAGTCCAGTGCTGCTGTCCAGTATGTGTGTCCAATCCTCCAGAGCCTCTAGAAGATTGGTCAAACATGATTTTCTGGGTACAAAGCCATGCTGTTCTTTGCAGATGAGATCTTTCTCTAATAGATGGTTGAGCAGGTGCCTTTTGATAATTCTTTCCATGACCTTACATGCATGACTAGTCAGACTCACAGGCCTGTAGTTACTTGCCAGTTTTTTGGAGCCTCCCTTGAAGAGTGGTACCACTGCTGCTCTCTTCCAAGCTGATATGATATGATACATGTGGCACAAATGTAAGAAATAAGCTTAATCTGACCTGACCTAACCTTACCTACTAACCTACTAACTTGCCGACCTATATCAGCCTACAACCTATGTTACCTACCTAATCAACCTATAACCTACCTAGGCCCTAAAACACATGATACAACCTACAATTTCTGCCATTGCATATTCATAGCAACTGCACCACAATTGATGATCAGACCTATTGTTACAAATACCCTGGGTCTTACCTTCTTACTGTATTGTTTCAGATTTTCCATTTCAGATTTAGCAAACATGGAGGCCATGGATTTTGACCCAGAGACCCTTCTGACAAGCACCAGCTCAGACCCAATGCTGGGGAAGCCTGCCGATCCGCTGCCTGCTTCAGCCACCGACCAGCAGGGACAACCAGCCCCATCTGGTCAGTGCTTTATTTTATAGCAGTGCTTCATAACTTATGAACAAGGGGTAGTTGTGTGAGGTGTTCTGGCTAAAATAAAATTATCTGCATTTACAAAGATGTGATAACTTGGTAGGATGCTCAACCTTAGTTCTTCCATGGTCTGTAAACCCTGTGCCCTCTCTGTTCAATCCAAACTGCTTTTTACTATTGCTTTTGGCTGGTGTGTATTGGCCTTCTATATTTCAGCATTATCTGAAGTAGTGCCATGCTAGTTGCTGGCACTACAGCTCAGGACACTACTTGAATAACTACCTTGGTTGAAGGGCCATTGCACACCATTCATTCTGATTTCTGACTACATGAAATCGGAACACTCAGAATTAGTAGGAAGGTCCTGCACTGTCTAGATCCAACAAGCTGAGTCTCTTCCAGTTCTGACCATTTTTTAAAAACAATTATATCTGTAATGTTTGAATGAACTGCTTGACAGAGCCGGAGCCCGCGCTAAGCGGAGCTTATTACGTAGGTCTTGAGCTTGACCCCTTTAGCCCGGTTGGGAAACTGAGGATAAACTCTGAAACATTTGGATCCTTTGTTGTACTTGTGCACTGCATGGTACCTACATGAACCAACACTCTCTTTCCCCAGGCTCGTTTGTCGTGCTGCAGAGCGGCAACTCTCCTGGCGCCGGGCCGGGAGGTGTCACCCAGCTGGGCAATATCAGTGTCTCCAGCCTGGCTCCCGGACAGGGAGCTCGTGCCGCCGCCAGCCGGGTGACGGCGGTGATGGGACGTCGGGCGGCCGGAACGGCGCCGGGCAGTCTGACCAAGTATCTTATATCGCCTGGCCAGGTGAGTGAGAGGGCGATGTTTGGGGAGGCCGGAGGGGAAGTGATGCTTTGGGGAGGGACAGTGTGCTGTGTATGTGTGAGGGGGAGTGTGCTCTGTCCTGGTGGGCTGGGAGCGGGGGGTTGAGAGGGAGAGGCCAGTGTCTGTACTTTTGTGTGTTTGGAAGAGGATATGTGTTGATTCTAGTGCGATGTTTGTCATCTGATTCTTAAGACTCGCAGAATAGTGTGAATACTTTGGTCACTGAGCGTGAATATCAACCAACTGCTGACAAAACTGCTCGTTTGTCTATATTTAGCAATGTGCCGACATCGTTAAGAGCATGCACGAAGATAGATGGTACAGTACGCTGAATGGATGCATCATGCATCCTGAATGGATGCATCATGCATCCATTCAGCGTACTGTACTGCCCCTGCCAGGCCGTGTTATGAAAAATGCCCTGCCAGGGCGAGGGTTAAGAGGCACTGCATTGCAATGCTTTACAACGTCAAATTGGCGAGGCCGTTGGTGCCGGTGGCAGGCCTGTGGTGCCCCTGTTAGGCCTCTGGTGCTCTTGACACTGCCAGGGGCACCATAGGCCTGAGAGGCCTGTGGTGTCCCTGGGCCCTGACAAGCCTGAGGTGCCCCTGACAGGCTTGTGGAGCCCCTGACAGGCCTGCGGTGCCATTGCTAGGGCTGTGGTGCCCCTGGAGGCCTGTGGTGCCCCTGCTAGGCCGCTGGTGCCCATGGGTCCTGGCAGGACTGTGGTGCCCCTGACAAGCCTGAAGTGCTCCCAACAGGCCCGTGGAGCCCTTACAGGCCCAAGGTGCCCGTGCTAGGGTGGTGGTGCCCCTGTGAGGTCTCTGGTGCCCCTGGGAGGTCTCTGGTGCCCCTGGCAGGTCTGTGGTGCCCCCTGGCAGACCTGTGGTGCTCTTGCTAGGCCGATGGTGCTCCTTCAGGCCTGTGGTGCCCCTAACAAGCCTGTGGTACCCCTGACAGGCCCGTGGTGCCCCTCGGCCGGCCGAGTCGCCGGCCTGCCCCGCGTCACGGCCCCGGACAACCGGTCCGCTCATGATATCCCAACATCGCAACACTAGGCCTGTGGTGCCCCTGTCAGGCCTGTGGTGCCCCTGATAGGTCGGTGGTGCCCCCGGGCCCCAAGGGAGGTCATGAGTGACCCATATGACCCCCCTCCTTTGGATCCGCCACTGGGATCTGATCACAACCCCCAGAAATAAGTAACCGTATAATCATCAGTTGCTTCCCTTGTATTCAACATACGAGAAAATTGACAACACTATTGCCGGCTGGGTCATTTATGACCCAATGCTATTTATCGAGGAAAAAAAGTTATCCGATGGCGACAAGAAGGGCAAAAATATACATCATACCTTTTTCAGACAAATTTAAATGCCAGGTGGACGATCTTTCAACAGATAATAAGGTGCAAACATAATATAATATTACTTTTTGGGGCGGCGCGCCATTGCCAGTGACCGGCGACTGTGCAGTCCCGTCGTCTTTGGCTCCAGAAACTTCAGTGGACGAGCTCACACAAGTTTTATGCGGCTCCGACGCTCGCCACTGAACCCACAAATCCAACAAAACACACACACAAGTTCCTCAACGTGCCACTTGCCTCCATTGAGAAAAATCATTAAGGCTTTGGTTTTGGGTCATATATGACCCAAGCGGCATTAATGGGTTAAGGATTTAGGGATGCCTAGACAGCCATATCATCCTGCGTTCACTGTGCTGACCTAACCCTACCCCTATCACCCCCATTACCTACACCTTTACCTACCGCCTCTGCTTATCATGCTTCCACTGTGCTGAAGTAACCCTACCTATCTACCCTTTTACCCCCCCCCCCCCCAGCAGGCGGTCTCCACCTCCGCGCCGGTCCGTATGATGGGCTCCACGGCCACGGTTCGTGTCGCCGCGCCACCTCCGCTGCAGCTGGGGGCCTCCAACACTATCACACTGACTTCGGCTGAGGCGCAGCGACTGGGCATCTTCAGTCCCAAGAAGGTGCGTGGAATAGGGTGACGACTGTCTGACGCGAATGTTTTGCTACATCATACCTTTGGGCGTGTGCACAAAACTGATGGGCAGTAATCACCGCGACACGTGTGGATTGTCCATGATGGTAATACAGTACAATACAATACAATACAATACAATACAAGAGCTAGCTGGACATGTCAGCTTTAATTCTTGTCTTTCACAAACATACCCTTTGAATTGATTTCCTCATTCGAGTCTTAGTACGTCCTTAGACCCATAGCCAAGGCCTTGGAGCTTCATAGATATATATACTGCATGCCATTCCTAACACACAATGGGATTCAGTTTACACGTCTGTTCGAACACAGAAGGTACACATGTTCACTGCTCTCATTAATCCATGTGTTTCGTCTATCTTTTTCTCAGCTGACGACATTAGAGGGTGTCAAACAGATAGGCAGCCCCACAAAGCGGATCGTGGTGCGATCGTCGCCCGGCCAGCAGTCCAAGGTAAGCAAATAAATGAACATGCTTTTACCTGTGGTGGTCTTATCAAATGCTCATTAAATGTTTCTCACCCGGCTTGTCATGACTGTTTGACCGTCCTAATTTGAGGAGTTGTATGTATGTCTATTGAATTTCCAAACGATTTGTAGCTGTATTTACTGTTATGACCGTTGCATTACCAAACCAAGATGCGACCGCCTAACTTTTAGCAGAGGCTAGTCTTGCAACTTTTCATTTCATGTGCGAGTGATTACCGTTGTCTGTGTGTGTGTGTCTGCTTGTGGGGAAGGGGGGAGGGGGCATGGTGTTTCAAATGACCAACATAATGAAGTCACAGTCCCATATCTAACCTTTCAACCTTCCCTCTCAGCAGGGCGGCCTGGCAGCGGCGGCAGCGGCGGGAGCGCCGCCTCAGGTCCCGTTCAGAGTTCTCACCCAGTCGGGCCTGCCGCAGGCGGTGGGACGCAGTCAGTCACAGGTGAGTGTGTGAGAGAGGGAAGAGGCGACATTATCATGAGCGGGCTGTGTTGTGGGCTAGTGAGCCTTTTCTTCAATGTTTTATTGTTTAATAGTTTTTTCATTATAAACGACTGTATTTAATTGTATAAATGTCATTTATTTTCCAGTGACCAACCGACGATACCGCCACACTTCTGTCTGCAATGTTTATACGAACGCGCTCACCACGACGCCCGTGTGACACTCCATCTCCGTACCGCAGCCCGTGCAGTTTGTGCGCGTGGTCGGCTCGGCGGCCAACCAGCCCGTCTTCTCCGCTCCTCCGCCCGCCACGGCCGGCAGCTCTGTGAAGATCGCCATCGCGCCGGGAGGTCGTATAGCGCCTCCCCCTCCGACCCAGCGTCTGCTGCTGCCTGCGGCACCGGTAGTGGGGTCCTCCGCTCAGGGCGGCGCCATAGAGCAGATGATGACGGGAGCGGAGTATAACAGCAGACCCAGGCCCATGATGCACACACCGGCGAGGCTGAACAGACCCACGCCACCCAACAGAGTGCCGGTAAGGGATGGGGTGAGAGGGGCGGGATAGGTTAGTGAGAGTGGCTGGGGTTGTGGGAGAGAATCTGGTCAGCCTACAGTTTTAGCCAGGATCTACACTGCTCAGTGCTCATCATAGCTTATCCTCTGATTGCTTATTGTATTTTTAACTATTAATACTCTATCTATTCCTGCCATTTCTAGGATTTCGTGTAATCTATTTGACTTCTAGTACCTATTTATATTCATATAGGCAGGGCTGGACAATTGTGCCGAGTTGAGGTAGCACGGGGGCAGCAAATCCGCCGCCGCCCTAGCGGTGACCTTGACCTTCGCCGTTTGTCGCGGCTTCAAAGCCAAGCCGGCGTGGCATTGGGAAAGCTCGTGCTACCCCAACTCGGCACAAATCCACCACTACATATAGGTACCGCTCAATTAGCGTAGTTGTCCAAAAATTGTCTATACGTACCCGCTCTGTTGAGCTCCCCTGCTCTGACTCCGTCTCGCCGGTGCGACTGCGCGCCTGTCCCCTGACAGAAGCCGCCTTCGACGCACATGGCTCGAGCCGCCGCCCGCGGTAGCGATGTGCAGATCCGTCCACGCAAGCCCTGCAACTGCACCAAGAGCCAGTGCCTCAAACTGTGAGCGAAACGGCATGACTAAGGGAGGGGGAGGGGGCGTAAACCATGCAATATTAAGTTTGATCCATCCGCTTCAGATCAGTTTTTGTTCCTGTCCTCACCGTTTTTCATCTAGAAACCATTCTTATTAGGACATCCGCCTGTCAGCTATCTCTCTTGTTCTGTTCGTGAACCTGTATTGCGCCCTGACATCCCAATTCCTCTCGGCGTCAGGTACTGCGACTGTTTCGCCTCGGGCGAGTTCTGCAACAACTGCAACTGCACCAACTGCTTCAACTCGCTGGACCGAGAGGAGGAGCGGCAGCGGGCCATCCGAGCCTGTCTCGACAGAAACCCGTTCGCGTTCAAACCGAAAATCGGCAAATCGGATAATGAGACCCGTAAACACCAGAAGGGGTGCAACTGTAAGAAGAGCGGGTGTCTGAAGAACTACTGCGAGTGCTATGAGGTGGGTAACGTCATGGCCGTAGTGTTCACGACTCACGATAGCATGAGATGGGTGGCCAGCCAACTCATATATCGAAAGAATATCTAAAATATCTAGGAATATCCTTGATGTCGATTGGTTCGTAATTACTGCACACTTAATTTAAATTCTTTTTGTTTTCGGATTCGGCTTGTCGCATCTGCCTTATCGCTCACTTCATTTCACGTTCAGTTATTCGATTGATGTCGCATATTTATTGATATGTCATCAAGTGATCTCTGCCACCCATGTTCTTACATCATAAAAATTGTCATACCACTGGGCACTGACGCGTATTCGCCTCTGTCTGTCCCAACAGGCCAAGATCTTCTGTTCCACCCAGTGTAAATGCATGGGCTGTAAGAACTACGAGTCTGCCAACACGCGTCCACCACGGCCCGGCGCAGGTCAGTTATAGGGGTCACGGGACAGACGGCGGGTCACAGGGCAGGTCTGGTGTAGCTACTGTCACGCAGCTGAATTGGGGTTTCTTTGTTAGCTTTGTTGAAGGTGAGATGTGAGATGGCATTGCTGATAAGGTTATTGGATATAAATGACAAAGGTTTATGTCATGAAATCGCCAGACTGCCTTAGGCTCCGTGAAAGTCTGTAGTTTTCCATGCTCAGTTTGTTCATTCCATGAGAGGCATTGAAAGAGCGAGTGACCACACTATATAATGAGATGAATGTGTTCAGTTTCGCGACTTTCAGACTGCATCCTTCTCCCCTCAACCACAGGCACGCTCCGTGACCTGTCCTTCTACCTCCTCTCTACCTACTATCGCCCTCCTGCCCCTTGTCTGATCCTCTGATGCACCTCTGTCCTCTCCCAGACTGGCTCTCCTTTACTTGTCCCTCGATTAATCTTACTCGACCCTCCCGTGCTGACTTCCCCTCCCTCAATCAGACTAACCACTTCCCCCTTCTTCCTTGACTGAGTTTCTGTTACTTAACCTCCCCGCACTGACTCCCTCTTCACATGCTCCCTCCCCAAACCGACTCAATTTACCCATCTCCGTAGGTTGACTCCCCCCTCAAACTGACCCCCTCCCTCCCCACAGGATCGGGGGTGTCCGCGCTGGAGGACTCCCTATCCCTCCTCCCCACCGAGGCGGGTCCCTCCTCCGGCCGCGGCCCGCGGCGCACGGGCGGCCTCAAAGTGGCCACCTTCCCCGTAACCGAGAAAGCTCCGGCTGCCGTGCGGGTGACGCAGGACGTCATCAGCGCGACGCTGTCGTGTCTGATGACGGAGGCGGCGCTGGCGGGAGATACGGCGGAGGGGCAGCAGAGGGTGCTGAGGGAGTTTGGACGGTGTCTGTCCGAGATTATCGACTATGGCTCCAGGAGACGTGAGTGAGGAGGGAAAGGAAGGGCATGAGAGTGGGAGGACGGGTGTATGTGGGTCGAAGGATAAAGGAGTGGGTGCTTTCTTTTCAATTCAATTCAAGTGGTTGCTTTCAGTGTATCGTAGGGCGGATAATCGACGTAGTACGGGAGTAGATGCAATTATCAAACTGTCTATAATGTGAAATGAGATTTGAGTGTTCGAATTGATCTGTTCGAGTATTTCGACCAAAATATACGGCTTATACTTCGAGATGCTTAGAGCTGCATAAGACGTCATAGACAATGGCATAATATATCATTGGTTTCATGTCGTATCTCCCTCAAGATATTTAGAACCCTTGACTGTGTCACCATTACAGCCAAGAGCTTTCAGCTTATAAGCTCAGGGATAGAAGTTGAGCAGATCGAGGCTTTGACCAGTCAAGTGATCGCAGAAGCCATTCGCCAACTCCCATAGCGTTCATTGTGTTCTGACGAGCCCAGTGACTTCGTTTAGCTCTTCTGACTACCCCTCGTCTATGTATCGGCAGGTGGAGCCAGTGCCGCCGTACCGGGCGTAGTATGAGAAGGCACGGACCGGTCTCGAACTTCAGAAACAGCCAGAGATACTGCCACTTCCTCTGGGCCGCTCGACTACCGCGACACTTATAATGTGCGCCAGTGGTGTCACCTACAATGATGATCCATCAGTGGTGAGGTCTACTACACATGAATCACGCACTGAAGGGTCCTTAGGTCGGCGACTGGCGACATGAGATGAGACTTGAACTATCCAAAAACGCACTTTTGTGTGAGAGGAGATCATGTATGATTGTGACGGGAGCTGCTCCCTCCCAATGATAGTTGTGGCGGTGTATGAGTCATGGTGTACATAACTTCATTAGCGAGACTTCAGTGACCCTATCATCGGCGACAACACTTCAGAATGTTATGGTTGTGACGGCTTGTTGTCATGGTTGGATCATCGTGCATTTGACTGGGACCAAGAATGTAGAGCTCTTGAAACTGGAAGGTTAGCCACGCCACCTTACTAGCTAGACGAGGCTTCTGAAGGAAATGGACGCAACTTAAACATTTCCCTTCTATGGTTGAGTTGCGAACTGAGTGTTGGAAAACAGCTCACTTGGTCAAGTAACATACGAGCTGCCTCGTATAGCTATCTGCTTTATCGGACTTCAAATAAATGGGCATTGGGGACCACCTGGAATCGACCGATCGTTCAATTACTTCCTGCTTTTGGCGGCGATAGAAAAACAAACTTAAGTCGTAAATGTTCAGATTATTTCCGTATATATGAATATCTCGCCGGGATCGTCCGACTAATAGGGCTTTTCAGAATCATGACCAAAACCGAGCCGATTCTAGGAGACTTCGGATCAAACTGTGCATACCGTGGTTTGAAGCGAGGGTGGCCAAACCACTTGCCCTGTAGTATGGATAATTTAGGATATCCATTACTACACTAATTTCATCCATTACTCATAATTTCACTGTGTGTGCTTCATATTGTGCGATGCATGGTTTTGGATGTGTTTACTGTCTTCTCATACTAGGCGTTACGTAACTTGAAGAGGTCCCACACGTATGGACATTATGAAAACTTGTACGATGTTCGATTTATAACGCGGGACATTCAACTATTTCCTAAACTCCATATTTTCACCTTCATCCGTGACCAACAATGTGTGCCTTGCGCTCCGTTTCTTCAGACAACTTGTCGTTCGTCTCTTCTTAAATTTTCGTGTGTTTGTTGCTAATGTGCGCCATAATCACAAATAGCGATGCGTTTCAGCATTGTTACATTGTGCGGATGCACTATGTAGTGAGGTGTATGTTATGTAAATGAGAGTGAATAAGGATGGATGAATGGGTTACACGGTGTAAGAAAGAGGGAAGTGAGGATCATGAAATGTCTTCGAGCACGCTCTTGTTTCTGTTTTCTAATATAAACCTCGTCTTTTCTGCGCTGTTTGGCCTTTGGGTGTTCTGGGTCGTCCTTTGAAAGCACTGAATGTAAAAACCTTGAGTTTTCTAAGACTTGACCGGGAAATGAATCATTGGTGTGAGCAGTCAAAAACTGGGCGAAGCAAGGTGGGACCGCTGCACTGGGGCCCGTTCGACTGAAACATGGGAGGTGAAAAAAAAAACAATACCTTACGATGGTAGCTCGTGAGGCAGCGGAGTAGATGATTGGAGACTGAGGAAGAAGGTAACCGATATGGACACGGGGAGGAAACAAACGGGGGGGGGGGGATATAGCCAGATTAGTAAAATGCGCGTCATATGGAATGGTGGTCGGATACTGGATACTGCGGACGCAAGTATACGACGGAAATATAAGGAATTGCCATAGACGCTAGACAGGGGTCACAGGAAGATAGGGAGAAAACCGAAGACGAAGGATGCGTGGAGACGGGAGGATAGGGACTCAGGAATCATCTCTCGCTTGGAAGAAAGCCGGGGATGAGGGAGACGGAGAGACGGGAGGACAGGTGAAAGCCTGAGACAATCGGAGACGGTGAGACACGAGCAGACCGGCGCCGGTCGGCCTCCTGTCACCAGCTGACTCCACCCCCCTCCCCCCCCCCCCCGCCGCCGTCCGCCGGGCCGGTGACCGGTGCCAACATACCTTGGCCGGCGGTGCGCCCGGTGTATTCCGGTCTCGGGTGGCGGGCCGGCCCGTCGGTGCCGACACGACGGGACCGACGAGGCGGCGGCCAGGGACGGGACGACCTATATCCCCGGGAGGGGACCCGCGGGGTGGTGGGACGCCAGGGGTGATGTAAGGGACGTTATCAGAGGTGACATTAGGCACAAGGTGTTAGTGAATGGCGTCTGGCTCAGTCACCGAGTTAACTGATTATTATAGTGTAATGCTGGTTTTCCGAACTTTCAGGGATACTATCGAGTTACAAGGGATCAGCTGTCATCCGCAGTCCGCATTGTTCCCTCCCTCAATATTACGTTCTTCCGCCTCGTACCAATAAAAATTTCACATCAACGACACTTGTTTGGCTTATCAACATTCAAATTTCGGTCCGCTTTTTCAGTGATCAATCACAAGTTATCAGTAACGTGAACTTATGGCTTCTCAGGCGATGATATATCCACTGATGAGTACGCTCATTGCTCAATGCGTTATGTAATACGGTGAACCGATGCAGGAATCTGAAAACAAAGAAACGAACATCGAGTAGGAGAATCCTTCAAATTAAAAACGACCCAAAAGTTCCTTCAACTCCCCCCCCCCCACACACACACACACACCCAACACTCCACGAAAAATTCAGACCACAAGCACGGCGCGGTTCTAACAACGGACAACGTGCATTTATGCGCTCAAGCTCCTCTCAACCTTTTCTTCCTCGTTTGTTCTCGCGTCTCCCTCTCGAGTTTTTCACAATGTTGGCCCACACCACCCAGCATTCTCTCTCGTTTACCGCCGTCCGACATTCGCCGACCGCCAGCCCGTCATCTGGTCGCTGCATGGGCGCCGAATGTCAACGGCGGCCATATTTTTTAACGAGATACCCGGCGGAGGACCCTGAAGCAAAAAAACGGCATAGTGATGAGTCAGAGCGATGGAGGCCTTGTGGAGGTAGTGGTGTTCCGTTGACAAAAGGTATCCAGGATTTTAGGCAGCATATGAAGAAAAAATGAGATAATTAGGTAGGTTATTTTTGGAGAGAACGACTAGGGTCACGTTTATCTAGACTGAAGGTCATTAAAACAAACTAATTTATGATTTCATTTAAATTCACGCCAGTCTGTGCTACCTTGGGCAGTGGGCTCGTTTCCTAGTCATTCAAATAGGTAGGTACACCCAGTGGCGGCGGATTCGATTTTGGCGTGGGGGGGCAAGATCCCAGTCGAGATGATGTCATAAACGGATCCAGAAAGGCGTTTTCGACGTTGTAGGGGACATACCCCCCCCAAAAAAAAGTGTCCAAAATCCAAAAACTCCACGGATTTCGATTCCTTACTGCTGAACAGTATAAAAAAAAAATCCTGATAAAAATATTATTAGGAAACATAAGGTACGTTTTGTCTATTTCGGGCGATGTAGGGGCCAGGGGGAGGGGGAGTAAATATTTGCTTTAAATGCCCGCTCCCTGGATCCGCCAGTGGACGATGTAACGCATTTCGTATTGCTGTATTAGAAAAAAGCTCCAATGGGAAAAAATTGTGCCATAACCCGATCGCATATCAGATGTTGAAGAACGGTGCCAAACCTTTTGAAGTAGGCGAGCGCTACTCTTCAATGAGGTAACTCGTTACCATTTCCTCTGTTCATTTTACGTTGGATTTTCGTTTAACTTCCTTTAAAAAGTATTTCTGAGACAGAAATCAACTGAAACTAGCTCACAGCGGGAGGAGACCGCTCAAACATTCAGAGACAGTCGGTCGCATCTAAACCTATTGGGACAGCGATCCGCCAGAAACCCTCCCCAAGGCGGTAGTTCGCCAACTAAGCTCACCGAGACGGGCTGTCTCGATGGGTTTATCCTAAGTAAGCCCACAGCAAGGCTTAACTAAGGCCCAAACGCTCGTCAAGCTGGGAACGGAGGGCTGAGGTGAGGGAGTCGAGCAGCGGACTAGGGTGAAGGAATTCGGTGAACTGGATGCAGAAGCTCTGGGGGGGGGGGGCGTTTCTTTATTAGGACTTAAGGGTGCGCTGACTGCGGTTAAAGTCCAAATTATCACACCAAATTTTACCACGACATCTACCGGTTCAGGCACTCGAGAATCAGCGGCCAGTGATATCTGCAAAGACGAAGCATTTCCAACCCAGCTTCAGCCTAGTGTGGGCGCCTCAGGTGGCTTTAATTACAGTTGCACATACCAAACGACCTCAGTGCAGCCAGTCTGTCGCCGAAACCATTCGGAACAGACTTCAACGAAAAGTGAGACAAGGTTAGTGCTATCGTTAAGTGCCATTATAGACTTGGACCCCGTTGGCTTGACCCACTGGAAGGTGGTAGTTATCGGACGCTGCGGGGCATACTCATTTTTCCAAAATGCCTTAGATTTTGCTTTCGTGTTCGATGCTCTGTATTTTATAGCCAGCCTTTAGCCAGAGGGGGCCCCACTAATGATCAGTGCCCTAACCCTCAAAAGTTTCCAACGTTAATTTTAACTTATTTAATAGTGAATACTGAAATAAAGCGGATACTGAACTGTGAACATCCAGTTTTTACACTGGCCCCACACAAGCCTCCGAATGCCCAAAGCAGATATCTGATGACTGGCCTTTGGGTGCCATACCGTGCATTTGTCAATGTGGTCAATGTGTACGACCTCGGCGTTTACCATTTTACTCGCACTGGAAACTGTTGCGCTCGAAAAAATCAGGGGAGTGGCTTATTACGAGCGCTCATCAGTCCTAACTACCCGCAGGCGAATGGCTAGCCCTTCCGTCTCCGCTCGCTTGCGATTTGGCATTCATGTAGGTACAAAATAGCGACAAACGACCACTGAGGATGTGAGTTGCGTTTCTTGCACTTAAAATATCTCTAAATCGAATCTGAAAAGACAAAAAATGCTATAAATCGGAAATGGTTAGCATTTGCACATATTCAAAAGGTGCACCGTTGGACAAACTGTAGGAGTGCATAGCTGCAATATCAGGCTATGGAAATTTTCCTCATGTTTAGGGCACAAATTATGGAGGGGCAAGAATATACGTTTGTCCCTCCTCCAGAAGTTTCTTAGGGAACGATGCCTCTGCCACCCCGTATCCGTCGCCCCTGTAAGCGGTCCACTGAAGGCCTGGGTTGCCGCTGCGTCACGTTGACGCTTATAATGTCTCCAAAACTAGGGTAAAGAGAGGAAAACTTGAATTGAACGCGAACACTTGTCATTTAAGAAAGGCAACGTATGATAAAGTATATGGGCATCTGGTTACATCTTCAAATGATCGAACAGAATAATCAGGTATATGTTTCTTGTCTAAGTTTTGTCACAAATTATGGGGGGGGCAAAAAGATACTTTTGCCCCCCACGAGTTTGCCAGGGGGGGCAGCTGCCCCCCCCCTGCCCCCCCCCCCCCCGAATCCGCCGCCCCTGGGTACACCTCTCCAGCCTAAGAAGAATCTGCAGTGCAACGGCGGTGACCGGCGACCGCCACTTTGCGTCCCATACCGCGGGGCACCGGAGCACGCCACTGCGACAGAACAGTGCCAAGATAAACCCTGGTCCGGTCCACCCCTTGGCTGACTCACTGCTGGTCTGGGATCTGCGGCTCACCTGTTCTGAGTGAAGCTCTCTGCCACCGCGACGACCCTGGCCTGGCGGGATGGGACATGCGAAGAGTCTGCAAATAAGACATGCAAATGTCACCTTGAAAAATGGGAGTCGCGAATATGTATGGATATTTTCATGGACGGCTTCGTGAGCTCAGTCTGAGAGCTTTCGGTGTCACAGCTTCAGCGAATTCAAGACCACCGCGTGCTATCCCCAACAGTCCCAATCCCTTTCTTCTCAGTCCCCAAAGCCCAAGATCCTTTTCCGCCGCCTCCCGCCGCGGCGCCGCTAGCCTGCGGGGGTAGGCTGTACCGCCGCGCAGCTCTGTACGGCGGCACAGTCCACCGCACAGGCGGTCCGCTACAGTTACGGCTGGCAACAGCATGCAGATCGAGTGTGATGTTATGCAAAGAGAGATAACGCGACCAAAGATTTGTGAATTGTGACAGCTCATAAAAGCCCAGGCTGCAAAAATAGCAAGCCACCGATCCGAGACGAGGGGCCAGTGCCCGATCAGCGTTAGAAATCTACGTAGCTTGTCGTTTCGATTCTGCAGAGAAAAGAAATTAAAATTATCTCAGGGCATCTGTTCAAATACAATAGGTGAACATAGCCGAATTTGATAGTTGGTGGCTGTGCGTCTCCCGAAGTGTTGGGTGGCAGTGACCGGTGGGTGTCAGTACCGGTGTCGGTGCCAGTACCGGTGTCTGTGTCTGTGGTGGCGGCGGGGACCGGGCGGCCAGAATAGACCTGGGCGCGTCGCCAGACCGTCCCCGACAGCCGCCGCGGCCGTACCGGCCACCCGGACAAACCCGACGGCCAGATACAGGAATTCAGAAACTTCTAGTGAGCGAGTTTATGTAACATACCCGATAAGAGATAGTGTAGATCGAAATAGTATCGGTATCGGGTATAAAGGCGATGGTGTCAGAGAATCCGTTGTTTCAAGTGTCAACAGAACACGCAGGAATAAAACAGACACGACGACGTTTTATATTCAGCAGCATTTCGTGACAGCACCTGTGGACAATGAAGGAGAGATTTCGCCACCAACACCTGATGATATACTCGTATACCATTACTAAAATCATAAAAGCCTCACGGCAGTCGCAAATGGAAACGATGACGCACTGACGCTTCAAACGTAAAAAAAAAACATTTTCAAATACGAGTTGTCAGGACCAGTGTTCGCCTAGCGACGGGCCAGCCTACAGGACCATTGACTGGGCTGGGCTACGGGCTGGGCTGGGTCCTCAAATATGAAGGATCAAAGCCCATCGTGATGTGGATGGGCCGGCCCAAGAACTTTAAAATGGATTCAGATATTGCGCCGGAGATAAATGCCATAACTACATGACATATACGTAATGTAATTAGGGAAATGAATGGCATGAACTGAAATTAATTCCGCAACTAAATGACCTGTAAATAATGTTATGCCAATGAATTACATGGACTGATATTCAATCAATTTATTTATTTTTGAATCAACTTATTTTTGGCGGGCTGTGCCGGACCAGGCTTGGACATTTTTATCATGAACGAGTTCGGGCTGGGCCGGCCTGTGAACACACGGGCCTGGGTCGAACTGGCCTGGGATTGTGCATTGGCCTATGGCGAATACTGGTCAGGACTACAGCTGAAGAAAAAAAAATGTTTTGCTTCTTGACACTGATCAATAAGAATGAGTCAAACTTCCGAGCAATAAACCAATCTTTGGATTGTATGGCTGACTTTTGGGTATAACCTGCATCTAAATTAAAACAAAAGCATTTTAAATGAAGTATAAAGTATAAATATAAAGTGTGAAATGAAGATAAATATAAAATATAGAAATGAAGCATAAATGAAGCATAAGTTTAAAATAAATAAACACCCTTTCAGCGGGAAAACTACGCTCAATCACCTTGACTTAGGTACTCGCCGCTCCGTTAGGTCGTGCTGTTAGGTACACATCACAGAGCAGAGCATCACATATACCTCCGGTGCCTGCGTCTCCGCCTCCGTGCCTATGCTCCCCCCCCCCGGCCCCGGCGCCTTGCCTATGCCCGTCCGGTCGGCCGTCCGTTGGCAGTGGTTCGACATGCCTCCGCCGTCTCTGGCCGCCCTAACCGTCAGTGGCGGGCAGTGTGACGGAGCACCCATCACACCGACCGGTCCCTCCCCCCCCCCTAGCCGAGCCGCCCCTCTCCCCGTGACGCCCCCTCCAGACGCCTCCATGTGACGTCCCCCTGTGACGCTCCGCCCCCCCCCCTCCTGACACCTAGCTGTGACGCTCTCCCAGTGACGTCACAGTCTGTCTCTCCTTCCAAGTCGACGGCAGGGGCTGACGGTCGAGTAACAACCCTCCCCGTCCCCTATCTACCATCCCAGGCTGCTATCTGATTTGATACATGTACAATACGGTATATGCTAGAATAATCGTAGAGGGGAGCAAGAGATGAAGAAGATGAGAGACTTTTGAGGCCAAGCCAATGTCAGAAAATGAAAAGTTAAATAGGAATAGAATGCGAG